GGAGGACAGCTGGTCCAGGGGTTCAGGTCTGGTCTTGTTAGACCGGGAGGACAGCTGATTATCCTCCAGAAATCAATTCACGTGAAACTGCCAACTACATGATTATTTCTGTATAAGACATTCTGTGAAAAGACCCCCCCCACCTTGTTGGACTGTCCCTTGAGTGCTTCTGATGTATTTCAGGGTTGAACTGGGTCGCCGAACGAACTCTCAAACCAATAAGCATCCTTCTCAAGAACAGTCGTTCTTTAACTCTTTCGAAACAGAAAGCCTGTTGGCAACCCAGGCAGAACCAGTAGCAGGATTCCTCAGGAAACTAGTGAAGTAACACGAACCGCTTGGATCAAACTGGGATCTTTGGTGACTACTCCGTGGGTCTGTGCAATGTCCCTGTGTAAATCTGTGTTAAAAAGCATTAAACTGAAACTGGAACACCTGCTGCTGTTTTCGTGCTTCCTGTAATCATTCTGCCTGCCCGTTATTTTGTTTTGTTACGTTCCACTCTGGCATCCACTGCTCCGGGGTCAGAAACACCAGCCCAGCCCGGGTCCGAGCCCTGGGTCTGTACTGGCACAGGAGTCTTCCTCACTCTCTCTCTCTCCTCTTCCTCCTTTCTCTCTCCTCAAAGTCACACTCAAAGAGCTTTATCGGCGTGGCTGGTGAATTACAGCATTCCCAAAGTAAGAACGATTACAAGACATTTAGAACGAAAAACATTTATATTTGACGTTTACAAGACACTATAGTACGATCTGTTGTACTGTTTCTGGGCTGTGACAGAAGATCACATGTTGGCCAGCAGCTCTTTTGAGTTTCCTCCCCCAATAGGATCGGGAGCTGTTCTGGAAGCTGGCAGGTATGGGAATTCTGGGATTAGAATTATTTGAGGGAAGAATCTCTGTCTGATCCCAGAATATTTCTCACAGTGCAGTAGGAAGTGCACCTCTGTCTCTGCTTCTCCCCGCTGGCAATGGGAGCACAGCCTGCTGAGCCTGTCCTCTCTGGACAGCCAGGTCTGTTGTGTCCAGTTTCTATGGCCAGGCTGTGGTCATTGAGCCTGTCCTCTCTGTCTGTGTCCAGGCTGTGGTCACTGAGCCTGTCCTCTCTGTCTGTGTCCAGGCTGTTTACACTGAGCCTGTCCTCTCTGTCTGTGTCCAGTGTGTGTGTCCAGGCTGTGGTC